CCTTTTGGTGAATCATAATTTCTATTGATTACATCTAGGAAAATAGACAAGCTATACCAATCCCACAGAAATTTAAGTGCTAAAGTTTAAATCCTGGAGCAACAGTTGTCTCCTGATCTTCTGTCCTTGTACTGAGACTTACTGCACCTTTCACTCTTGCTCTTTTGGAGGATATCTGAGCCCCTGTTGTGCTGAATGGGAGACGGTCACAGAGGTATGTCTCACATGGGGTTATAAAAGCTGTGTCTTTATTCTGGAAGCAGAATTTGCTCGATTCCACTAGGTGGATCTATTGAGAACATTGTTCACTATTTAATGTAAAAAATGTCTTTCGCTTTGGGGAAAAAAAAGGAACTTTTCTTTTTTTCCACTTTAGCCTGCTTCTTATGTTCTATAGAAATACAAAGGTGATCACTTTTGTCCTTAGAAAGCTCTAAAGCCATGTACCAGTCTGTCAGTTTCAATAATAGTTTGAAGGACCTTTTCTCTTCATTCCAGTTTTGCCCTTGTGTCAAGGAAAAGGGAAAGGGTCAGAGTTTCCAGCACTGTGAGAGGGAGGTGTGCCTCCACACTGGCCCTGCTTTAGATGCTGGTTCCATTGCACATCTTCCTGCTGCCCATTTTGTACTTTGTTTTTGATCCTTTCTTGGTGGCTGTGTTTTGATGAATTGTTGCAATGACTTGTCATAAAAAGTGGCCAATAGAGATTCCTGGCCTTAGTATATGGTTTTAGTTGAACCATGCAACTTGTTTGCAGCATCAGGCTCAGTGATAGTTGACTGCTGTACTGAGGATGCAGATTTATCTCCTAAAAACCCTCATTTTTTACAAATTCAGATTACCTCTACCACCAAATCCCTGGGATGATTGTATATACAATCTTTGCTGATCAAATCTATTCAGAGATATTTATTTTGGCTATGGTCCCTGGGGAATAGACAGCTTATTCTCAAATGGGTTCTGTCTCTGGTCTGTTTGAAAAGCTGGGATCTCAGAGTCCTTTTTCCGGGAAGCTTTCTTACACCATCTGTATGACTGGGAAAACCTCCATCCACCTTGTCAGTTTGCTGGGGTTCAGCCCAGGAAACCCCCATGTTTGTAATAGGCATTTTGGAAGGGGTTTCCCTTTTTCCCGTGAAAGTGTTTTATTTATGTCTTCTTGAACCATGCTTCAGCGACTTTCTTGCTGGATGACTTGTGTTTTCACTGGCTCAGACTGCCATGTAGATCGCACCACCTGTTCCAGAGTTTGCTGAAACATTTACTGTAAGTTTTCTGAAATTCCTTATTTAAAGTCCCTGCTATTAGATGATTCCTTTTATGTGCTTTTCCTTATCAATATTAAAGACCTGATGTTCTGCTCTTCCTCGGAAAAGAGACCCCCTCCTAAAGGCATTAAGCTTTCAATGGGCTTCTGCAGCCTTTGTTAAAAGAATGCCCAGTTGCTTATCACCTCTCTGTAGGAAGGAAATGCTGATCACACTTTTTAAGAACAAAGGCAGGATTATTCCTCAGTCTTTCCTCATAAAGCAAACAACTTATAAATATTTAAATATATAAAGCTAATGTTTCTCCCCCTCCCATTGTGTAAATTACTGTATGACCACTTGTCTTTTGCTACTTTCCTTTGTAAAGCTTCATAAAATACTACTCCAACCTAGGCTTTTCCTTGGACTCATCAAATTTGTGGGATTTGGGATTTTGTTCCCTCTTATTTATGTCTGTCTGAAGTGAGAACTTCCAAAAGGCTATCATTCCACAAAGGTAGGAATTACAGGGAAAGGTAATATTGCCTGGCCAAAGAACTCAGCTCTCATTTCCTCTCATCCTAATTTTTGAGGTGTGACAAGTCTGTAGCTGATAACTTCCAGTCCCTGAGAAGATGCCCACTATGCTCTAAGACAGTGCAAGAACCTTGCAGAGTGAGGCAAACAACATACATCTCTCCTGCTCTTTCCCTCTCTTCTCTGTAGTGTTTCTGCCTAGTTTTAAAGCAATGGTGTATTCCTGCCCACTCATGGGGGAGATAAAGAAGGGGGGTAAAATCAACCAAAGCAATTGGAGAAATAGCTGGGGACAGTTCAGAGGATAGGAAGGCTTTGAAGAGAAACCACCTTTCTCTGGATGCAAGAGGAGGAGAAAGGAACAGCACTGAAAAGATGGGAAGGAATAGGATGATGTTGGGAACGTTATGAATTCTGAGAGAGGTTGGAGCAACATCTCCCTGAGCTCTCATCTAAGATCTTCTGAATCCCATATAACCAGTATATATTGCTTAGATACTGGAGCCTGTCACTGAGTCAATAAAATTTGGAGGTCTCCTGTCTTTAGCATGTACTTAGCTCATGGACGTGCATTATCTCTTCACGGTGCATTTTGGGAAGGTTTGGCCATCCCAGTCCAAATAATCATGTCTGTGAAGCCCTGGGGAAAAGAGATTTGATCAGTCTTGTTAACAGCATCCTCCCCTGACAGCACCATTGCCTGCCTGTAGCAGCCCACTCTTCCAGATTTTGAGAAGTCTTTGGCTGACATTTTCTTCTTGTAGAGCTGAGTTGGATGGTCATCTGGACCATCCAACTGACTGTGAAAAAAATATAGAATTGACTAGACATTCTTCAGTGATGGACCACAGCCCTGCCCTCAGTTTAGCAAGGGTTTAGTACTTAATTTCAACTTCGTGGAAGACAGTTCTTAATCTCTGTCCACTTGAAAGTTTCTGGAGGGAAATTCCTGTTCCCTCCTGAATAGAGAGGGGAGGATAAATACTTTAATTTTTGCAAGGCTCAGAGCCAGAGCCCTCATGCTCGTGCTTGTTTTCACTCCATTCGTTGTCATTAAATGAGCATCATGCACTTACGCCAGAGGAACAGGAAATCCCAGTTAGATGTCTAAAGCTCTTCTGCTGTCAGTTGCTGTTTCACCTATCTCTAGTCAATATTCTTATCGTTGTCTCAGGAAAAAGGACCATGGGGTTTTCCTGAGCTCTCATTCTTCTGTAACTCTTTGTGCGGTTCTCAGAAATCTCCTGCTCACCAGTGACTCCAGGTGCTTGATTTGGCCCCTGGCTCTGAAGCGCCATCGCCTCCGAGGTGGTTTGTACTTTGAAGCCCTAGGTCATGGAAATCATAAGGTGAAATCTGATATTTTAAAAAAAAAAAAAAAGGTATAGCTCATTCTTTTATGAGACTGCTAATAATGTTCAGCCTTGACAGGGTTAAAAGGCAACATCCATTTCCCCATTATCTTGTTTAAAAAGTGCCTTTTTTAAAGTCCATATGGCGACTTCCTTTCGACCTGCTTTCCCATCCTCGTCTCTTTGTCAGGGCTGTCACTTATAAAGAATCACTTGACTTACAATAACAAGTTCAAAAGAAGACAGAATATAATCAGTTGATCCACGAAGAATTGAAATAAAGAACACCCCCACTGCTCCAGTTATCATTCCCATAGAGATAGTGATATTATTGATGTGATTGCTATGCTAATTTCTATAGAAAAAACTTGTATTTTGGAATTTGTTCAAAGAGAATTTCAGACACATCAAATTGGAAAATGCAGAGTGAATTCCTAAACTTTTTCGTATAGGCATGGGAATCTTTTTTTTTTTTTTTTTTTTTTTTAAAAACATTGAATAGCTCTGAACAACTATTTATAAACTTCACTTAAAAATCAATTGGCAAAATCTTGCTAATTTGTAAGTTCTTATAGAAAGTTAATTTACTGCAGTTCCAGAAAAAAAAAAAAAAAAGTCCTATTGCACCTTTAGGGTCATTAATATCACCCCCCTAACCTGCAGATGTGGGATCGGATCACGGAGTCCAGAAAGAGAGGTTAGGGATTATAAAAGATGGGTACATTTAAGTCCAGTGTTTAGGAAGAGCTAAATTAACCTATACCTCTTCCTCTGCAATTCCATAGTCCCTGTGGGAATTGCCACAAACATAAACTTTTTTTTTTTTTTCTTGGACTCTTATTTTAACTAGAAGGTTTCAGCTTGTGATGTTATGCTTTTTATGTAGTAAACTGATTTAAAATGTATGCCAGTCATCTTCAGGGAACTCATTTCAGTCAAGATGAAACTAGTCTTACCTGAATCAATGTTTTAAGTGTCCCTGTGGCTCGGCATTTTGAATAATCAATCTGTCTCCATCGCTTCTTAATCATGCGCATCACAGTCTTTTTTATTTGTCAACCCTTTCGGATCCTGGCTTTTTGTTATTAACATGCCCCTAATGTCACATGCAAGCCTTTTCTTTAAAACAAGCTGCTCATTGGTGTATTTTGATACTTTTTATTATTACTAAATCTTTTTTCCCATAATTACACCACAATCATTATATAATCCCATAACAAAGAGTCTATTGAGGCACCATGCTTTTGTCAACTATGGGACACAGAATCCATAATTGCATTATTCAGCTTCCCCCCCCCCACCCCCCCCTCCCTTTCTGCTTTGTAGAAACACAACCTATTTCACCAGTCACATTTGCACCTTGTTTGCTTGGTTATATATTATTTACTAAATCGTTGCCCTGCGGATAAACCTTGTAAAGTTGCTTTAAAAAAGTTATTTGTTTGATAATTAAGTCCTGAAAACCCATCGTTTAATGATTATTCCGAACCCATAAGGCAGAGAACCTCCATGACGTTTTTCTCTAAGTTTAATTACCGTATGCTAATTTCCTTGCCTACTACGTGATTAATTAAAATCATATTTTCATAATCATTTGGCACTAGTATTGTTTTAGAATTATCATGATCCCCTAAATAGTGTATGTAAATAAAGTCGGCTCTAATGGAAAGAATCAAAATGCAACGCTGAGGACCTTTATGTGTTTGTATGCATGCGATTGGCAACATAACTGGCTTATTTACATTAAATACGCCACAAGGTTACAGTGCAGATCAACGTCACTTTATCGCTGATTACTTCTCTTAAACGCCGGAGCGGTGACTGATGCTCCGGTCCCCCCTGTCCACCAAGGTTTCCCCGGGAGTTTTTTTTTTTCCAGGAGCAGCAGACTTTGCATAGTTTCGGGAGCAGGT